TATTTTACTGCTCTTCTTTGATTTCTAGAAAGACTCCTACAGGAATATTTTTAGAAATACCTCCTTGCTGTCTTCTAAAGCTGAGACTAATTGTGCCACCCAAAAAGGAGAAACCAACATTCACTGTTAAGTAACATTTTTCAGGTTCCATTTTCAAAATATTGAGGGTACCAACATCCTAGAAAAATTACTCTGCCGTTTACAAAGACCAAAACTGCCAGGTTTCTGAATATCGACAGAAGTCACATAGCAAGCTTGGAGGCTGGCCACCTAAGTGGTGTTAGGAGCATAAATATGAAAAGCTACTCTCAATATTCCATAAGGAAGTCATCATATTAAAAGACAGAAAAGTATGCATGCTGCTCCCTTACAGAGTGGCAGGCTGATTTTCAGAAAGTATTCTGCACAAAGACAGGGGCTGCAGCAAGGGGCCCAGAGTAAGATTTAATAAGAAAGAAGCCCAACCACAATAGCTTCAGAATAACCACAAACCTTTATTCTCTATGCACTCATTTAAGGTTGACCAAAAGCATGTCTGACAGGTTAAAAATAATGCATTTATGTAAGGGTAGGTACACACACATACACACATACATACATACACACACACACACACACACACACACACACACATTCTTACAAGGTTAAAAAGGGAGCTCTGAAAGAATGATTTATTGCCACAAGAACAGGGACCCAAAATAGATTGGCAATAAAACTGATTGGTCCCAGTAGGGTTGAGAACTAATGTATCAAAGCCCTGGCCATGAGAGGCATCCGGGAAAAAGCACCAGAGTCCAGCACAAGCTTCTGGTCCTTGACCCCACCTCTATTGAGTTCCATTCTCGTGACCTAACATCTGTAAAGTACAAAAAACTTGACCGGTTCATTTCTATTATGCCTGTTTCTTTGAAATCTGTTTTATCTTTTCCAAGGCAAAGCTCTATGCAAAGGGGAAGATAAGTTCAAAATCCCCTAAGGCTTGCAGAAAATCTCTCAGCTGCCCCTTAACACACAACTGTAATTTTCAGCTCAATCCACTTTCAATACTACTGACCTGCCCAGTCTGTGTGAGATCATAAATGGTGACAGAGCACATCAAAATGAGCTGGGAGCAGCAGTGCACTCCTGACACCCCAGAACACCTGGAGACTGAGGCAAAAGGATCACAAAGAACCCTTAGCAAGTCAGCAACTCAGGCAGGCCCTACTCACAACAAAAACAAAATAAGTAAGGGCTGGGAAGACAGCTCAACAGCATACACACCTGCCTGGCAAGTGCAAGGTCCTGAGTCTGACCCCAGTACCAAAAAGGAAGAAAGAAAAGAAAAAGCAAGCAAGCTAGCTAGCAGCTATGCAGCAGTGTGCATTAGGTCTAATTAGCTTAGGTCTAATTCCCAATACTGGGGCTGGGGAGATGGTTCAGTAGAATAAGCGTTTGCCTGGCAAGTGCAAGGGCCTGAGTTCAATCCCCAGTTCTGCCAAAAAATAATAAATAAATAAATAAATAAATAACCAGTAGACGGCATGGTGGCACGCACCTGTAATCCCAGCTCTTGGGAGGCTGTAAACAGGTGGATCACTACAAATCCAATCTAATAGTGAGAACCTGAACACCCTGTAGACACTTCCCTAAAATACAAAAATAAATAAATTTACAGTACTATTAAAAAAAAAAAATGGGGCTGGAGAGATGGCTCAGTGGTCTAAAGCACCTACTTGGAACAAGCTTGGCAAAGCACAGGGACCGCGGTTGGATCCCCCAGCACCACATGCCAGCCAGCCCCGCCCCCTGGTGGGCTGAGCTGGCCACACACACACACACACACACTAAATAAATGTTAAAAACAAAAATAAAAAAAAAAAAGATTTAAAAAAAAAAGATTGTCAAAGTGATCTGTGTTTCTGTATCAAGATGCCATCAGAGAATGAAAACAGCCTAACAGGACAGACTTTAAGCAAGTGGAGCTGAGGAAAATGGCAACCACTGTTCTGAAGCCCAAAGAAAATAAATAACTGATCTGGGTATGGTGGTACCAGCCTGTAATCCTAGCACTTAAAGCTAATTCACAGGGATTTTGAGTTTGAGAGCAGCCTGGGCTTCACACTCAGACCTCACCTCAAAAAATAAATCAGTATATGAGAAAGAAATAAAAATGGAAAATACATATATAGGTACTAGAGGCTCAGAAGGAACCAGGAGGTTCACAGAAAAAGGGAGAGTCCCCAACACTACCTCAAGGGTTGGGCCCCTCTCTGGGGCACACATTTGTCCTCATTGCACAACTCCATATCTTAGTAGAGGACCCCTGCTTAAACACTTCCACCAATAGAGAAAGCACAGGGCAGCTCAATTTCTGAACGGCTCCATTTAAAAGTCCTATTAACAACTGCATGGCAGGGATGGCTCAGTGGAATGAGCACTTCCCTGGCAAGCACAAGGGTCTGAGTTCAATCCCCGGTTTCACACCCCCCC